CTGGGATTCTCTTCAACTAAATTCTGATAATTCTCTTCCAGGGAAGAGATCGACTCAAACAGACGACGCTTGCCAAAGGCTAAAAATATACAGAAACTTGTAAGTTAAAGCAAATGATGACAAGTCTATACGGCAAATGTCTATTTCACGTCTTTTCAAGCCAAGTAAATCAACTACATATATAGTGACATCTCCCACTGCAAATGCAGATCTATTTAGTTTTAATATAAAATTTATAATTGTACAATAATAATAATAACAATAATAATAATAATTAATAATAATAATAATAATAATAGTAATAATACTCTAGGAATGGAGCTGCGCACTGGAAGAATCTGCGAGAGCCTCAGATAAGAGATGTCAGTTTGAGCATACGTCAAATCTTGGCGAGAAAGCCGAAAATATAGCATACGTGGAGAGTTCCAATTTAACTCCACGTAATGTTTTATTTTATTTGAAGTTCGCGTCGAAGTAAAAATTTGCATGTAACAATAAAAAGTCGAATAGTTACAAAAATCTGTATAATTAATTTTTTGTAAATACTAAGGGAAATAAAAGCTTCGACTTTCACAGTTTATTTTTCAAAACAAAGTTATTTTTAATTTTTTGCAAGATTATAATCACTTTTTTACAGAGCAAATGTGTAATTTTATACCTAACATGATCAGTGATTAGTGAAATGAAGTACACACTGATCATGATTTCCGTCCATCTAACACATCAGCTTCTGGAGCAGCTAATCATTTTTACGCTGTATTTTTTTGCATGATAATTTTATCATTGAAAGACAAACTTATTATAATAAATATTATTCAGAAAGGACCAAGAAATTTTCTTCATTAGTAAACTTTACAAGTTGTAATTATGACATTTATCACGTGAAGTATAACGTGAAGTATACTATTAAGAATTTTTAACGACGCTTTCAGATGGCCTGGGCTAACACACACCAGTTGCCTGCGCCACATGTAGCAAGTATGAGAATGGAATGCCTTATATCTATCTTCGTTGCCAGTATTATCCAAAGTAATTTTTGATTTTTGCAATTATTAATTACCAAAATTAATCTACAATTAATAAAGTGCTATTTACGCACTTTTATCACTTAATCGTCATTCTTGACAAGCATCACACGTTATAATTTTAATTTTAGACGTGAGAGCAATGATCAAAAAATGTATGAGATTGACGATCTCTGCTCTGGTTGTGCGGAGGGAACTGGCTGTCGAAGTAATGCGCTTTGGCAGAGAAAGAAGGCGGCAGTTGCTGCACATCATTTACAGTCTAATATTACTTTCCCTCGCTAAGCCTGTTTTTGTTCAAATCTTATGTTTATTAATACTTTCAAACACAACAAATTTAAATGCTATATTTTTAAAGTATAACTTCGATAGTTATATTTTTGGTTATAAAACTAATACTTTGCAAACACATTCTCAGTAATGTGCGAGACGTAGACAAGACGCAATGTACAAAACGTAAACAAGACGCAATGTACAAGACGTAGTCAATAGCGCGCAAAAGTTTAGCTCTAATACTTATAGTTCAGATGATTGCATTTTAATATTGACAAAAATCTTTGATCTGAAATATTTTCACGCAGTTACTTTACTTATTTATATCGTTAGAAAAGCTATAAATACAAGAGCGGCCCATAAAGAGTATCACTACAAAGTTCTTCACAAACTCACTTTCAAATACAGTTTTTTGTTTGAAATGTATTTTCAAATACTTAAGAGAGAATATATCTTTATTTTACGTCAATTTTGACTGCCTTTTATAGATTTGGTTCAAGCATTAGGTAGTGAAAGTATGTAATTACTGAACTTTTATAGTAGTAAATATGTACTTATCAATGTCTAAAGTGAACTGAAGTGATTAGTTATCAGATTGTGTGACGTGAATGCAAGAATGCAAACGGCAAATCGATGGATAAGCTTGTGGTAATATATTATGATCATGATTATCACTTACGTTTAGCTCGTTCTAGTATAATAGCATGCATGTTCACGACGTTTCTTAATACATTAAAACAAAGTCTGCAAAGATTATTGCATTATCTTTTCATACTGCAAAACATATGTAAACATTCAGTAAAGTATACTCATTATTACATTGCTGTTAGCTGCACTTGCATTGTTTGCTAATTCAGTTATTATTGCTTCATTATTATTGTTATTATATTATTATTATTATTATTTATTATTATTATTATTTATTATTATTATTTATTATTATTATTATTGTTATTATTATCACTCATTAATATATATACGCATTACCAAATTTCTAAAAGCATAAAAATTCTGCCTTTAAATGAAGCTAAA